GGCATTTTTAGTGTTTAGCTACACTAGTTACTCACCAAAAATCGAAAATAGCTATGTACTCAAGGCAAGTTTTCAAAATGTCGAAGGAATAGTAAAGGGAAGTAACGTAATATTGGCTGGAGTAAAAGTCGGATCAGTGACTAGTATTACTCTAGATAAAACTAGTTTTTTAGCATTAGTAACCATCAACATTGTTAACGACGTCAAATTACCCAAAGATACGAGTATAGCAATAGTAACAAGTGGGATAATTGGCAATAGATATATATCCGTAATTCCTGGAGCGTCTGAAGAAAACTTGAGTAACGGCGAGCAAATAAGATACACCCAATCATCAGTTAATATAGAATCTTTAATAGGCAGATTAATTTATTCCTTCGGTAATAGTAAAAAATAATATTTTTTAAAAAATTATCAAATATGCTATTAGTGCATAGTATAAATTAGTATATACTACAAATAGTTTTATTATGAAACAAAGTTAAATCCTATTAGGATGTGTTATGTTGAAGTTAGATAATATATTAAATACTTTAAAATCTTCTACTGACTCCACAACGGAATCTAAAAACATTCAATCTAGTAACAATTCTGTTAAAGTTACTAAAAATTGGTATGAAGAAAGGTCAGACAAGTTAGTAGTACAGCGTAATATTTTATTGATATTATCAATATTATTAATATTTCTTATAATGATATCTATAGTAGCGATAACTATAGTAGTAAATTCAAGAGAATTTAGCCCCTTTGTTATTCAGGTTGATAATAGTACAGGTGTTGCTACAGTTGTTAATCCAGTATCTTCAGAAATACTGACTGGTAATGATGCAATTTCAAGATATTTTATTAAAAAATATCTAATAGCTCGAGAGACATATAATCCAGTAGATTTTGATACTATCCCGCGGAAAACTATTAGATTATTATCTGCAAGTTCAGTATATTATAGTTATCTTGGTTATATCCAAAATAAAGATATAGATCCTGTTTTAAAATATGGTCAGAATAATACGACTTTTTTAACAATTAAATCTTGGTCAAAATTAGAAAACAATGTAGCTGAAAACCAGTATAAGTATATAGTTAGGTTCTCTATTAACGAAACCACTGGTAATAAAACAGTTTATAATAAAATAGCTGTGGTAAGTTTTGCATATGTTCCAATGGAATTAACAGAAGAAGAGATAGATATTAATCCAATAGGTTTCCAGGTTAACAATTATAGGGTAGATGATGATAATAGTTAGACTTGTTTTTGTAGTAATAATACTATGTTACTTGGTTATTGCTAATGCTGATAATAATACCTGTGGTGATAACAGGTATAAAAATAACAATATAGACGATTTAGCAATCACTACTGATAACAGAATTAAAACTTATATACATAATCGCAATGAGGTTTATTTATTGGTTCTGCATTTTGGTTTTCAATCTAGTATAGAACTTGCTGAACATGAGGAAGTAAACAATATTGTTTTAGGAGACTCTTATGCTTGGAAAATAACTGTGATAGGTCATAGAATATTTATTAAACCCTTAGAGAAAAATATCCGGACAAATATGACTATTCTCACTAACAAAAGAATTTATCAATTTGATGTTGTATCTAAGGAATTAGAAGAAGGGCATGAAAAAGATTTAGTATATGTAATTAGATTTTATTATCCTAAATCTAAAAATCCTTTTAGCATTCAATAATGTTGTATATTTTATTAAATTAATATTAATAACATGGTAGAAAAAAATAATACTACTTCTCAAATTGATGAACAAGATGTGGAAGCACCTGAAATACCAGAAGTTCAGAACGAACTATCAAAAGTTGCTACTAACCCTAAGCAAAGTATTCTGATTTTACTCGTTATTTCCGCTATTTTTATATTTATATTTTTTAAGCTTTTTATTAATGATAATAAGCCAGTTGAGGTAGCA